TTCCATTCAGCAATTAAACCAAGCATTCACATGACCTCTACAGGATCTCATGCATTACTACAAGATCTACCAGAAAGTCTTAAGAATTTTCACATTTCACTCTGGAAATAGTGAACTAGTGCAAATGACATAACCATACTTTTTACAGGTGTCTGGTTAGAGCAAAACATGCTTTCATTATATAGAAGCTTATAACCAAATTAATTAGTATGACAACTTCTATATTATTTTAATCAATGAAGCATTACAAGAAGCTTGGGTTCACCATTCAGCGTTTAATATTTCATAGGTTTTTTTTGTCAAAAGAGTTCCGTTACCCATTGTACAATAGGCAGCAGATGAATCAAAACCATGTCTAAAGACAAACTCACAAAGACAAGTACAAAACATAAAAGGAATCAAATAGGGTTTATAATGCATACAAGAAAAGAGTGGATGTAGAGATGATTCAGACAAAATAAACAAGATCTTTACAGGTAGCAGCAGAGAAGGCAGCAAGGATGGAGGCAAAGACGAGGTTGGGGGACTGAGAAGCATCGACCGCAGTGTGGAGGCTGCGGGCACTGTAGTACTGCACTAGAGGGGCCGTCTGCTTGTGATAGGACTCTAGTCGGGAGCGCAGAGTGGTCTCGTTGTCATCACTGCGGCGAATAAGAGGCTCCCCAGTCACCTGTGGATATATGGATCAAACCAAACCTTTACAACAATGCTCATAGCTGCCCTGCTAATAAGAACAACACAGTTTTTGTTTCTCACATCATCCTTCATTGGCTCTTTGGGAGGGTTGAACTCTTCATGGTAAGATCGGCCACTGGGCTGGTGAATGAGCCTGAGGAACGAAATGAATTATGTTCAGCAAAGTATATTTATTTTGTTACTGTACCTTAGTACATGTTCAGGTATCTGTACTTTTTATTTTGAGAAACTTTTACTTTACTACATTTCAAACAAGCATAAAATCATACTTTTTTACTCTACTGCATTTCATAAAAAAACATATCATTCCTCATTCTCTTGAACTGAAGAAATTGCCCCCCGCTCTGAGTAAATTCAAATCATATAGAGGTTATGACAGCCTATTCAGATGCTTGAATGTGGACTTGAATGCAATAATAATAAGAAAGGTTTCTTGAATAGCAAATCAGCATATTAGAATGATTTCTGAAGGATCATGAGACACTGAAGACTGGAGTAACGGCTGCTGAAAATGAAGGAAAATAATGCTAATAATGCCCATGCATCTTCCCGCTGATGTAGCAGTTTCAAATGGTATGAAACTCAAATATTTGCATAGCGTTCCTCTTAAAATGTGAACACATTTTTCCACATGTGATGTCTGTACACTGTATTTCTATACTATTTATTGCCATATTTACACAAATTTAGTTTTTCCACATTTTTTCAAATACTATATGGCATCCTTTTACATGTTTGCACACTCCATACATTTGTGTAACTGACACTGATATTTTGTATACTGTACACTGATATTTTTGTATACTGTACACTGATATTTTAGTATATTTAAATGTAATGTTTTTATACTGCATAGTATTTTTTTTAATACATTTTTTTGCAGATCAATAAATAATAAATGTCTGCACTAATCTTTTATTAGTGCTGACTAACCGGTCTAGTGCAGGCTAGAATAAATAAACATGGCTCACCTAAAAATTATACATACAAAATGAGGACTTATACTTTTAAAGAAATAGTACATTATTAGGTTATTGTGCTTTTACTCAAGTACTTGATTTGTGTATTTTCTCCACTACTGTTTGTTAAATTTAAACAAGAGTCTCACTGTCATGCTTTACAATTAAAAGCAAGGAGGAAGTAAGGAGGCACACTTACTTTTTAAGCTGCGATCAAAACCACTCAAGGAAAAATTTCCTGCCACCACCTCCATTAAGGATAACAGAAACAAAAGTGTTTGACAGCTACTATGCCCTACCTAAAAAACGTGTCTTCTCTCATTCCAGAAATGAGCGACATCTTTTCAGTATATTCCTTATTCATTAAATTAAACTGAGCTAATAGAAAGCATTAGTGGTAGTGGGCTACTACACAATGCTTTAAATTGACAGGACCCTCCATCTTTATACCTCCCACAGATCCTGCGCACTAGCAGAGAGTCATCAACAGAGAATTCAACCACAGAGTCCAGTTTCTCATCACGCTTCTCCAAAAGGCCGTCCAGCTAGAAATGAGAAAGAGAGAGATACAGGTTGACAGATGCATTCTTGTGATCAGAACTTGGCGAGAAAGGATTCTGCACCCTTTTTATTATTAAAGATTACAGATGTATCACAGACACATATGGAGGGTCAGTTGTTTACAGAAGTCCTCACCATTTCTGCTTGCTTGACGGTGCGGGGGAAACCGTCCAGCAGGAATCCATTCTTGCATGCAGGCGCGTCCAGGTTGTTTTCAATGAGCTCCACCACCATCTCATCACTCACCTAAAGGAAAGATGACAAAACTTTCAAAAGATTCAGGACTTTATCCCTCCAACCAAAAATACACATTGGGGAGGAACAAATATTAAAATATATATAAAAACTAGAACATCTATTTATTTTACCAGTTTGCCGGCATCCATGGTTTCCTTAAGCCGCTGACCGAGCTCTGAGCCAGATGCCACCATGGCCCTCAGCATGTCCCCAGTAGCTAAATGACACACACAGTACTTCTCTGCAAGCTTGGGTGCCTGTGGAGGCCGAAATGAAAAAATAAATAAATAAATGGAATTAACCCAGAAACAACAACAAAATGATCAGAGACATTACATAAAATAACATTTAAAATATAAGGAAAGCCTAACGCTTGTTCATCTAACAACCTGTCATGAGGAACAATTAATCCATATACTTAAAATTTATGTGCAACATTTGTTTTGAAATAGACAAATAAAACAAAACAACCATTCAAAAAATTGGGGTCCGTAAGATTTTTTTAAAGATAGAAATTAACAGCTTTTTCAGCAAATATGCAATAACATTGATCAAATGTGACAGTAAAGACTCCTACTCAGTCTATTAAAAAAACACTATTTTGACTTTTCTATTCATAAAATAATTAAAAAGAAATATGTATCAAAGTTTCCACATAAAAATAAGCAGCACAACTGTTTTTAACATGGATAATAATAAGAAATGATTTTTGAACTGCAAATCAAATCAGCATATTAGCATGATTTCTGAAGGATCCCGTGACACTGAATACTGGAGTAATGATGCTGAAAATTCAGCTTTTCCATCGCAGGAATAAATTACATTTGAAAACATATTAAAATAGAAAACAGTTATTTAGAATTGTAATAGTATTTCACAATAGTACTATTTCACTGTATTTTTGAGCAAATAAATGCAGTCTTGGTGAGCAATGGTAGTGTCTGTACGAACAAAACTATAAAACCAATTAATATTCTGTTGCTGCAACCACATTCATAAGCAGTTTTAATGGTTTT